TTTAGTTTGAAACAGGGTTTCACTGCATAGCTCTGGCTCTCCTAGAACTCCCTCCATAGATCAGGCTTACTTTGAACTCACAAGGATCCATCCGCCTCCCAAGTGCTGCAATTAAAGATCTGTGCCACCATTCCCAGATAAAGATAGCATATCTTAAAGTCTCAATGAAGAGAAATATTGTGTGTCAGTGTGATTAGATTTTAGGGAGGGGTTGGAATTCAATCTATGTCTTATAAGTTGAGTAGAAATTTACTTTGGCTATAGGAGGGGAGGAGGCACACCATGCAGGTACAATCCTACTGTAAGTCTGTGAAGCAAGGACAACCTATGCTGTCCTAAGGATTAAGTATGAGCTTATAGCTAGCCCCAAAGATACTGTGAGATTTCAGGGGATGAATACTTGATTGTTGCAGAGAGGCAGAGTTAGAAACATAAGTCCTATATTTTATCTTCCTGAAAATGTGATACATTTCTTTAAAAGAAGTAATAAAAATTAAATTCTGTAAGGTTTTATTACAGCCTGAAGGTTCTAAAATTGATAAATGTTTAGAATCTTTTAGACTTGTTTTAGATTACTGCATGTGACCCTCAGCTCTTTACTGACAATGGAATGTGCTCATTATATATTACATATTACACAGATTACAATCTTCAGAAGATTATAGGTTCAGTACACTTGCTGAAAAAATACCTCACAATTATCAATACTGTATGCACATATTAGCCGTGTGTAATTAGTATAGAAGATGAAGCATTACCTGGGCTCATGTTGAATACTGATGGCTATTGAAGTTTTGTTTGAATGGAAATAAATTCTAGGAGTGAGTTTTCCCCTTAAAAAAGAATGAGAAAAATCAAATACATATATCAAGGTTGTAAAGCACAAGGGTCATCATCTTTGGTAGAAAGAGGATTAAAGAAAAAGAAGTCAGTTTAAAATGTTCCCTCAATGAATAAACCTGGGTGATAAGAAGCTCTGAGGAGGACCTGGGGAGACAAACGAAAAGGAATTCAAGGGTGTTTGGCTATGGAAATAAGATCTTTAATTATGTAGCTCAGTTGACCTCAAGCTCCTGATCCTTCTACCTCTGCTTCTGTCTCTCAATAGAATGTATTTTTTTCCCAAGTCCTGGGGAATAAGGTTGTTGATGGCTGTCTTAGCCTATAGCTGGAGTATAAATCAATGGAAACCCAGAAAGATCAAGAGGCTTACACAAGGTCTCAGGACAGTAAAGTGAAAGAAGACCCTAGAATTGCTGATTCATCCCTGCACATGTATCTCTCGGAACAATGTTTTGCACAAATCATGAGCTCAATAAATATTTGTTGACTAAATGGTGAATGGGTGAACCCTAGATTCTTATTTACTTATAGGATTATTTTCATTGCATCTTACAACGGCTCTGAGTTCTAAAGTTGAGAAACACCTTGTTTTGCTTCATTACATTTTAAAATGGTCCTAACTATAAAAATAAAATGCCAAATTCTAATTTTCCAGTTAAATCTTACTCTTAATAGGTATTTCTTCAAGTTCTGTACTTATGCTGTAAGGAATCCTTTTCTGTAGATATTACTCCTCTGCATTATTTGAAGGCTGTAAAACTTCATCCTGTTGGTGGAATCTGGGATAATTATATAACAACAAAAACATGAAGCAACCAAGCAAGACCTGTTTGCACAATGTTAAGGATAAAGATGGTAATGCAGGAGCTCACCTAACAACAGATCACAGATTTACCTTATGTGATGTGTTAGTGTCCAGGGCTGTCATAACAAAGTCCCACAGACTGCTGGCTTGGATATATTTATGTTTTCAGAGTCCCTAAGGCTTGAAATCCAAGTCCCAGGTGTCAGTCAGATTAATGACTGAGGGTTATAAAGGAAAGACCTACTCCATACCTATATCTTTGACTTGTAGGTGATGATCTTCTCTTTGTGTTTGTTTTTATGTCTCCACACTTCTGTTTGTGTCTGTGTTCAAGTTTTTATATTGTAAGAATAGCAGCCATATCAGATTAGGACCCAAACTAACAACCTCTTTAAATATTACATTTCCAAATATTACAGCCCATGTTATTGGATATTAAGACTTCAACATGTAAACTAGTGTGTGTGTGTGTGAGAGAGAGAGAGAGAGAGAGAGAGAGAGAGAGAGAGAGACAGAGAGAGGGAGGGAAGAAGGGAGGGAGAGAGAGAGAGAAGGAGAGGGAGAGAGGGGGAGTGAGGGGAGGGGAAGGAGAAGGAGAGGGACAGAGTCACTTTTTTAATCACATTGTATTAAACTCTTGTATGGCAATTTCCTCCAGAAAGAAACAAGAGACTTATGAACCTCAGGAGGTTTAAAATAAAAGTTCTCCATCTGTCTTGGAGAACAGAAACTTGTTAGACTCTTGAGGACCAGTAGTATAAAAGGAAGTATATGCTCCCCAGTAGTATAAAAAAGAGTAAGCACTTGCTGGGGGAAGAGATTGACTAGCAGAACTGAAGAGAGAAAATATTGTTGGAGGCTGTCTGAAAGCTGTGTAGTGAGTCCCAGAGTTACAGCTTTTTGAGTCTTTGCCGGTGTTGGGGAAAGGATTCTCAATGATGTAGCTGCTTTTGAGTCATCTCTGCTCCTGCTAAGTTACTCCTCACCCATAGTCCTGTTAGTAACCTCTTAGAACTCACCTGCTCACCAAGTTGGACACTGGTTCAACTCTTTCTTTGGTCTGTCATGTGTTCCAATTCTGGGGTGAATAGACATGTATTGTAGCACATGACAGTTCTCCATCCTATTTCTCAGTAGCAGCTGAAGTAATGTTACTAGGACTTCTAGTTTGAAGTTAAGCATGCAACTGTCCAATAACATCAAGAGATCCTGCCCAGATAGGTACACCATTCAGTTATAACAAGTTGGCTTCCAAATTTTCCTGCTACTAGGCTAAAAGTAGCTAGGGAGTGTGGCTTTACTTATACACTTGTCAAAAAAAAAAAAAGTACGTTATTACATTGATGAAACAATAGTTTTTTCTGTGTAAACTCATGTTTTCTTACTTGTAAAGTGCTATAGGAAGTCTAACTGTCTTTGATTACCGTTGAACTGTAGCTTAACTGGTAAGTATAATATCCTGGAGCTGGGGATTTAAAAGGAAAATCTTTTATGAGGATCCTAGGGAAAAATAATTACTTTCCTCTGGGGCTTCTGAGAAAAACTTAAAAGAAGAAACAAGTGTTTGTGGGAGAAATGGTTTTAGAGTTAGAAATAATTTGGAAGGGCAGAAGGATGCCACAGCTATGGTTTTGATGAAAATCTTCCAGTTGCATTAAAGTGTGATAGAGTATGTACTCATTACAGTTAAGTGCCTCCTTATTCTTTGTCCAGAATGATACTCAGAAGCTGCAGGCTTAGCCTCCTTCACTTTTATCTTTGACCACTCTTTTCCTTTCCTTTCTTTATGCCCCCCCTTTCTCTTTCTCTCCCCCCCTTCTCTTTCTCTCTCTCTAAGATAGGCTTTCTTTGTGTATACCAGGCTGTCCTGGAACTCACTTTGTAGACCAGCTTGGCCTTGAACTCAGAGATCTACCTGCCTTTCTTTGCTGAATTAAATGCATGCACCACCAACGTCTGGTTGTGATATTCTTGATAAGATCCTTTTAAAATTTTTCCCCTAGTAACTCAGTTAAATAATCAATTAAATAATGCAGTTCAGCATGTAGCAAAAGGTGTCTGCATTGTGAAATGGTAATGTGACATTTGGATAAATTACTATTTAGCATTTTTTGATTCAGGCATCTCATGGACTGTTTCTTAAATCACTAGGTCACTAATTGTTTCTGTAGAGCGCTAATGTGGTATTGGAGATGATATAGGGGTCATCTTAACCTCTTCCACATTCAGTGAACACTTACTGGACCCAAACAAGACAAGTGTTTACAGGATTTTGAGTAGGTTCCCTCTAAACCAACATGTACAAAAATAGTAATATTGTTAAACTCAACAAAACTTGGGGAAATGGAACAGAGCACTACAAATAACAGCAGTTTTGAATTTGAATTATTTGAAAAACACCTTATTTTTGCTTCATGAGAATTTAAGTATAAAAGTATAATGCCAAATTCTATTTTTTTTTTTTTGTTCAAAACTTACTCTTAAATGATATAGGAAATTGGGAAAATTTTGTAGGGAAAATTGAAGGTTCTTTCCTCCTTTCATATTTGGACATAGCTGATATTTAAAAAACTATGTGATTGAAAATATGTACATTTCCACATTAGATATGAGTTATGATAGACACATAATTAAAACAGACAAGGATTATTATTTGCCAAACATTTATTGAAAATTTTACAGTCCATTTTTTTCCCAACAAGAATGCCTTTAAGTACTATAGAGTCTCAAATGTTTGTGGGCTGATGAATCTAGTCAAGAGACCTCTAGAAATTTGTCCTCTGTCCTTACATTTCCCCCTTTCCTTCTTCCATCATTCTGTGAACTCTTGCTGAACCCAAACAAGGCAGATGTTTATAGGGTCTTGAGTAGGTTCCCTCTAAACTAAAATGTACAAAAGTAGCAATCTTGAACCCAACAAAACTTGGGGAAATAAGACAGAGCTCTACAAATTAACCAATTTTAAATTTGAGTTGTTTGAGAAACACCTTGCTTTTGCTTCACAAAATTTTAAGTGATACTAAGTATAAAAATATGATGCCCAAAACTAATTTCCTGTCCAAGTCTTTCTCTTAAGAGATATTTCTTTTAGTTATGAACTGATTTCACATTTTTTTCTGCATAAATCACCCCCTTGCATTATTTGAGGGCTGTCAAAATTATGAAACAAAAATTGTTTGGTTACCTCCAAATGAAATTTAGGCCAGAGAAAATGTAAACTTAAACTTACAAAATGAGAGCTCCCAACAAGATGATCCACTAAAAACAGTGGCTCAATTATTTTACATATCAAATTGCTACATAATTCTTGTTACTTATGAAGGCAATAAATCAATGTGCTCCTCAAACAAAATTCCTTTAAAAAATTAAATGACTTCTTTTTTTAAAAGTTTGCACTAAAGAACAAAGACATCTTGCAATAAAGAACTACAGGAGGCAGAATGAAAGAATAGAAAGAAATGAAACAGGTATAGTTTAAGATTCTGAAAAAGACATTCTAAGACCAGAGAGTTTTCCCACAACCAGAAACACGTGAGCTATCATTTGATGCCCAGCGTTTCTCATCTTCCTTTGCTTGAAAAAGAAAAAATAAATTGGCTGGTGCCAGGACTTCCGCAGCATCCTTTAAGGGCGGTACTGAGACCTCTGCTCTTGGATGTATTCATAGAGAGGGCTGGAACGCACTGGGACATTGGCAAACTGGCGTGTGCCAGTCTCCAGGATTTGGCGGCGCCTCTGCTCCGCCTGCCTATGGATCTGCTCTTCTTGAAATTTTCTCTCCAGGTCTTGGCGACGTCTTTGCTCCTCTTCTTGACGTTGTTCTTGTTCCTGACGACGAATCTTATCCCTGGCAAACTGCTCCTCAGCTAGGTACTGACCATCTCGTTTCTGCCTCCGCAACTGCAGTTCCTCACGTTCTTGGCGCAGCTGCTTCTCCTCCCGGAATTTCCTGTCACGTTCTTGGCGAAGCTGTTGCTCCAGTTCCTGGTGTCGACGCTGCTGTTCCTCAAAGCGAAGCTGTTCTTCCTCGAGTTCCTGGCGGCGCCGCTGCTGCTCCTCGCGTTCTTTCTGGAGCTCTGGTTCTCTGCGGAATCTTCGGTCACGCTCCTGACGGCGCTCTTCTTCCTCAAGAAATTTCCTGCCACGTTCCTGGCGTCTCAGTTCCTCCTCCTCCAGTTCCTGGAGGCGCTCTTCTTCACGGAATTTTCTGTCACGCCTGAGCTCTTGTTCACGGCGGAACTTCCTATCCCTGGGCTGCTCTTCCTCCATTTCTTGGCGGAATTCTTGTTCACTGCGGAATTTTCTGTCACATTCCTGTTCGCGCCTACGCTCTTCCTCGCGCTCCCTGCGAAGCTGCTCCTCCACCCTCAACTTTCGATCTCTCAGCTGCTTTCCCTCCAGTTCCTGGAGTCGCTCTTCTTCCTCATGGAATTTTCTGTCACGTTGCTGGCGGCGCTCTGCTTCTCTGAATTTTCTGTCACGTTCCTGGTGTCTCAGCTGCTCTTCCTCTAGTTCTTGGAGGCGCTCTTCATCGTGGAATTTTCTGTCCCGCCTGAGCTCTTGTTCCCGACGTAACTTTCTATCCCTGGGCTGCTCTTCCTCCACTTCCTGGCGGAATTCTTGTTCCCTGCGGAATTTTCTGTCACATTCCTGACCTCGCCTCCGCTCTTCCTCGCGCTCCCTGCGAAGCTGCTCCTCTGCTCTCAATTTTCGATCTCGCAGCTGCTCTTCCTCAAGCTCCTGGAGGCGCTCTGCTTCACGGAACTTTCTGTCGCGCCTGAGCTCTTGATCCCGGAGGAACTTTCTGTCCTGAAGCTGCTCTTCCTCCAGTTCGTGACGAAGCTCTCCTTCCTCGCGGGATCGCCTGTCACGCTGCTGACGCCTCTGCTCTTCCTCGCGCAGCTCCTGACGAAGCTCTTCTTCCTGGAGGGATCTCCTGTCGCGCTGCTGGCGGCGCTGCTCCTCTTCTTCCTGGCGGAATCGCCTGTCACGCTGCTGACGTCTCTGCTCTTCCTCACGGAGCTCCTGACGAAGCTCTTCTTCCTGGCGGAATCGCCTGTCACGCTGCTGGCGGCGCTGCTCCTCTTCCTCGCGCAGCTCCTGACGAAGCTCTTCTTCCTGGCGGAATCGCCTGTCACGCTGCTGACGTCTCTGCTGCTCTTCCTCACGGAGCTCCTGACGAAGCTCTTCCTCCTGGCGGAATCTCCTGTCGCGCTGCTGGCGGCGCTGCTCCTCTTCCTCTTGGAGGAATCTCCTGTCACGCTGCTCCTGACGAAGCTCTTCCTCCTGGCGGAATCGCCTGTCACGCTGCTGGCGCCTCTGCTCTTCCTCGCGCAGCTCCTGACGAAGCTCTTCTTCCTGGAGGGATCTCCTGTCGCGCTGCTGGCGGCGCTGCTCCTCTTCTTCCTGGCGGAATCGCCTGTCACGCTGCTGACGTCTCTGCTCTTCCTCGCGCAGCTCCTGACGAAGCTCTTCTTCCTGGCGGAATCTCCTGTCACGCTGCTGACGTCTCTGCTCTTCCTCACGGAGCTCCTGACGAAGCTCTTCCTCCTGGCGGAATCGCCTGTCACGCTGCTGACGTCTCTGCTCTTCCTCACGGAGCTCCTGACGAAGCTCTTCCTCCTGGCGGAATCTCCTGTCACGCTGCTGACGTCTCTGCTCTTCCTCACGGAGCTCCTGAGGAAGCTCTTCTTCCTGGCGGAATCGCCTGTCACGCTGCTGGCGGCGCTGCTCTTCCTCGCGCAGCTCCTGACGAAGCTCTTCCTCCTGGCGGAATCGCCTGTCACGCTGCTGGCGGCGCTGCTCCTCTTCCTCCTGGCGGAATCTCCTGTCACGCTGCTCCTGACGAAGCTCTTCCTCCTGGCGGAATCTCCTGTCACGCTGCTCCTGACGAAGCTCTTCCTCCTGGCGGAATCTCCTGTCACGCTGCTGGCGCCTCTGCTCTTCCTCACGCAGCTCCTGCCGACGCTGGTCTGCCTCGCGCTGCTGGTGGAGCTCTTGTTCCTCACAGGATTTTCTGCTGCGCTCCTGCCTTAGTTCTTTCTCCCGTTCTTGGTAGCGCAGCTCCTCCTCCTCCTGGAATTGCCTCTCTTGTTCTTGTCGCCGCCTCCTTTCTTCCCGTTCCTTCCGCAACTGCTTTTCCTCCTCGAGGAACTTGGCATCCCTCTCTAGGGGCCGTCTTCTCGAGTCTCTCAGGAGCTGCTCTTCCTCCTGGGACTTCTCACGCCGTCTTGCGGCTTCCCTTTGGTGCTCTCGCTGCAGCCGCTCTTCCTCTAGGAACTGCTGGTCGCGCTGCAGTTGGCGCCTCCTCTCCTGCTCCAGCTCCCTCCTCTCTTCCGCTTCTTCTGGCAGAGGCCGCCGATCCTGACGGAACCGTCTCTCTTGCTCCAGGGAATCTTCCAGCTGCCGGGTCTTTTCTTCATCCTCCCTGCGTTTGGAGAAGAGCCTGTGACGGCGAGCTTCATTTTCTTTCTCTGGTTGCCACTGCCATTTCAGATCCCTACGCTGATCTACGTCCCGCTGCAGGTCCTCCTCTTGATACTGCCTCGCCCGCTGCAGGCGCCTTCTTTCCTGCTGCAGCCGCTCTTCCTCCTGCTGCAGCCGCTCTTCCTCCTGCTGGAGCCGCGCTTCCTCCTGCTGCAGGTCCTCCTCTTGATACCTCCTTTCCTGCTGCAGGCGCCTCTTCTCCCTCTGCAGCTGCTCTTCCTGCCGTTGCAGCCGCTCCTCCTCCTGCTGCAGCCGCTCTTCCTCCTGGAGGTATTTCCTCTCCCGCTGCTGGCGCCGCCGCGCCTCTTCTTGCAGCAGCCTCTCCTCACGTAGCTCCTCCTCCCTCTGCTGGCTCTGCCTTTCTTCTTGCAGTTGCCGGCTCCTACTGGCGTCCCGGCGCTGCTGCTCCGGCTCGCGGAACCGCTGCTCTTGCTCCAGGCGCTCCTCCTCAGCAGGACGCTGCGGTCGGAGGTCGCGGCGCTGCCCCTGCTCCCGCAGCTGGCGCTCTTCCTGCTCCTGTCTGCGAGGCCTGGAGTAGACTTTGTTCTGACGGGCTTCTGCCTCCCTTTCGAGCTGCCGCTGCCAGCTCTGGGTAAAGCTGTCATCAGGCTCCTGGAGACGAGTCTGCTCATCCTCCTCAGCCACCAGCTCCTGCTCGCGCCTCAGCTGGGGGTCGCGCCTCAGCTGGGGGTCGCGCAGCTCTTCTCTTCTGCTCTTCTGCAGCTGTCTCTCTTCGGTCCGGTCCTTGCTCTTGAGTTCTTGCCTCTCTCGCAAGTTCTCTTCCTCAGAAAATTCCTCAGCATCAGGACCCTGGCTCCTGCTTAGTGGCTCTTTCTCTGCAAGGCGCTCCTCCAGTTCTTGCAGTTCTCGTCTTTGCACTTCCTGCTCCAGTCTCTCTTGCCTCTTCCTCTGCTCCACAGTGCGCTCATCTTGCTCATGTCTCTTCTGCCTGGTTCGGCGCCCTAGTTCTTCGTCCCGTTGTACCTCCCGGGGCTCGAATCTCCTTTGGTCTTCTTGCCTACGATCTTGTGACACGTTCCTCTTCTCATCTAGCCCCGAGGCCTGGTCGAGAGCATAATAGCAAGCTTGAGCAATCTTGAAAAGGAACAGGAGGAATTCGTTGAAGTCAACACGCCCGTTGGAGTCGCGATCCAGAAGTGCTAGGGTCAGGTCTACCGTCTCAGGGTCATGTGGTCTCTATGAAAGATTAAAACAAACGTTTTGTAATTAATTATTTACATGTTGTAAGCTTTTACTCTCACGCTTATTTTATTGTTGCTCTTGTGTTGAGATTAGGATATATTTAGAATAATTAGAAAATGCATAGAGTGCAGAGCTGTGGTGGCGCACAGCATGCTTTTAACCCTTGCAGGTGGATCTCTGTCCAGCCTGATATACAGAGCGAGTTCCAGGACAGGCTCCAAAGATACACAGAGAACCCCTATCTCAAAAAGACAAAAACAAAGGAATGAATTTGTCCTTGAGATCAATAAAATGAAAATTTATGAAGATTTCCAACATTTTATTTCATTTGAAAAGCCAGTCTATTCCATGTTTGAAGAAGAACTAAGATATTTGCAGCAAAGCAGATTTCAGTTTCTGAAAGTTGGGAGCAAAAAATGTCCCTTTAAGTCTATTAACTGGATTAAGCATCATTAGCGGTAATGCCTTATTAATTAACACTTCATTACCATTAACAATGCCATCAAGTCCATTAAATAAATGTCATTAACTTCTTTAGTACTCAGATTAGAACACCAATTTAAGTACCTCGGGCACAAAAATGAGTGAGGATGTAATGTAAACCTGTCATGTTGAAAAAATCCATTTTAACCAATATTCTTCGCTCTGGTCTTTCTTGGGAGGAAAATTGAAAGCCCCACACCGCAGATTTCTTTTTCTTGTCAGGTCTCACCTGAAGAACAGTTCCAAGTTCCCTTTCAAGGAGGTTCTTCAGGTCTTTCTTGCTTAACGATGCTCCATCACAACTATGTGTGGCATAATGATCGAAAATTTCAGCGATATCAATAACGCTTCTTAGAAGTGGAGACATTTTTTCTTTCTTTCAAATTTAAGTAAACCTAGAACAATGAGATAGGATTCAGAATTAAATCTCTGCTTCCGATATTAGGGAAACTTCACTCACACCGATTTAGACAGATCTTTAGACTTTCCACTAGTACTTATTTCAATTTGCATTTTCAGAGCGTGTTATCCCTAAATATTGTATTCCAAAGGGGAAAAGAAATATTAAAAAATTCTAAGTCAAGAAAATCATCTTCAAACTATTGCAGTCAGCTTTTCGCTGTCCATTTGTGTAGACTACCCATATTCCCCCTACTTTTTTTTTTTTCAACATATGTCGGATCAGATTAATGAAGACATTCAGGTAAGAAGAGATGCGGGTAAGAATTAAATTCTACATATTGCTACTCATAGCAACCCCTAAAATTGAGCAAAAAGGATAGGTAAAAGACAAGATGTGAAAGACTTGAGCATTTTTAAAGTACACACACACACACACACACACACACACACACACACATGAGAGAGAGAGAGAGAGAGAGAGAGAGAGAGAAATGTGAATTACTCCTTAAGTGTATAGCCCAAAAGGAACTAATTCATGTCAATTCTAAGATTAAAGGGTGCTTTCTTGTCAAAATAAAACATTATAACATTTAAATGCTGCAAAGCAGTAACATAGATTTCATGTTTTCTGCCTTAACCTATTCATATTTTCTATTATAAAGTTATTTGAGAGATCAGAGCCAATAAGTCAAACAAACCTGGAGAACTTTGAATGATATTGGTCTTAAGCCTGGCCTTTGTGAAATGCAAGTAAATCATTTGAATGCTGATATCTGTGTAGAGTGACTGTTAGTGTGTGCAAAATAATATTTCCAGTATTGCCAAGACAAAGCAAAACACACAGCCACAACTAATCTTATCCACCAACACAGTAGTGTTAAAAAAAAATACTTGGATGGTTTTGCTGGCTGACTGCATAGTATTCACTTAATTAAGTTCTTTATTATCATTTGAACTCCAACACTTGACACACCAAATCAGATGTGAACTGTATGAAGATGCCTATGTCATACTGAACACATAAAAAAAGAGATCAGAGGGTTTTCACACTTTGGGGATGGTAGTTTTCCAGAAAGATGAACCTCATAAGCACCCACGCTATGTTTTGGTGTGCATAAGTATTGAGTTCAGAGCCTTGAGAGAACTACGGCTATTCAAGTGATGACTCCAGCCACACATAAAAAGGTGGGGCAAGCCAAGCATGGTGGCTCCTTCCTTTAATCTTAACTTCCCAGAGGCGGAGGCAGTTTCTGTGAGTTTGGGACCAGTCTAGTCTACAACACAGTAGAGTCTAGGCTAGACAGGGCTAAATAGTGAGACCTCATCAAAAAAGAAAAGGGGAAGACGATGGAAGAAGTAAGATTTAGCCGATACTGGAAGGTGGAGACCCCTTCTGGAGCATAGGCTCTATCTTCATCCCCCCCAACATGTACCATGGCTAGAAAAAATAAAATCATATAGAAGAACACCATCCCACAGAATGGGACTTACCCACTTCACCAGAGGAAGAAGCCAAGTGCTCGCTGACACTGCTGTCAAGTGTGCTAGCTAACTGGGAGTCTAGCCTTTTATAGGGGTTTTAATTGTGCCCTGGGGAACAACTTAGGAAGGAGACACCCACTCTGTGGGATGACCTGATTCATTCAAATCCCAGCTCCACCTCTGTCTCCAGGAATGGCTTGTTTATCTCACTATTTGCTCACGTAGCTATTTGGACAGGGTTCACAGGACTTGCCTGCTGACTGGGTGCTGGCCCCACCTAACACAAAAAGGTAGACTATTTGGGCAGATTTTCTAACTTTCTTTCATTGTTAAAATAAAAGCATTAAACAAAGGTGATGAATGTTCCGAATCTTGATTTACTATGACTTCATAAAAACAAACTCTAGTCATTGATTATTTTTTAAGATTTAATTTTAAGTGTGTGTGTACACGAGTACAGGTGCCTATGGAGGCCAGATCTTCCCCTGGGACTGGCAAAATAACATGGACAGTAGGAACCAAATTCAGGTACTTTGCAAGAGCAGTAAGTGCTCTTAACTGCTGATCCATATTTCTAACCCCTTAAACCATTTATTTTATGTAAAATACAGATTCTAGGTTGACATTAATCAGAAACTTTAACATAAACTGATGAGAACTAACTAACTTCTGTATGGCATGTAACAGACCATGAAGAGATGACCTTGAAGAAGATGAGAGGGACCCAGGTTTCTTTTCTAAAAATTCAGATGGGAAATTTTAGTTTACATTTGTATTCCTCAGATTTTCCTATAGGGTAAGGGTTGCTTTCTAAGTAAATAATTTTGGAGAGTATCTTAAAATATGTGTTTATCAAACTGTTGATAGAGCATATTGTGAAATTTCATTCTGAGAGACATTAAATCTAAATGAAATTTGCTCATTTGTTTTTCTTGCTTGTACACTGAAGCCCCTGGAGAAAAAGAGCTAGTGTCATGCGTTATTGTAGATACAATCATCTCATTCAGTCTAAGTTACTAATGGTTATGACATCTAAACACTTGAGTTGGCTTCTCCTGAAAGCACATTAAGGTCATTCTAGCCCATTATAGCTGTCAGAGCTTTCTCAACCCTGGTGATCATTTGTGAATCTTGGTGTCATTTTATTGCAACGAACTGGATTTACTCCTGGTTGTCAGTGACTCCCACCCTTCCATTTCATACTACATGAAACTTTGGTTCATAATAGGTTTATGGAGACTATTAAATGATTCAATGGCTTCTCTGAAATTCTGTCTCCATCAAGGTAAGTATTGGGTTTTGGAAGTTCGAGGAGAATTTAAAAAAGTAAAAACATTAAAACAAGAGTTGTAAGTTCCTTTAGTGGCACGTGAAAATTGGAAGCCTAAATCTCAATGTCTGTTTCTTACTTTGTTCACTGATACCCCAGACATGGATTAACTAGAAGGACAAAGTAACAGGAGAGGAAAAGACGATTGTAAACCTAGTTTATTTCTGCTTCTTCAAGGCCTTCTATATGGAAGTTGTGATTTCCAAGTTTCTTTAGAACAGTCAGAACTGTCATTATCTACTGGGGTCAGGAAACTGATTGGATGTGGCAAATCCTTTAAAAGTGGTATTTCTTTTACTCTTCTCACTAATGTTCATACAGTTCTCTTAGTCTTTGGGCTACCTTGAGCAATGTACTCATACACTAACTGCAAGACAGCAAACTCCTTGTTCTCCATGAGGTGTCTAGTAATTTGCCTAGACATCAAGGGATTCCTAATAACCAATTTATGTCTGTTTGTGAGTCTCTCTCTCTTCTCCCCACCCCCCCCCTCTCTCTCTCTCTCTCTCTATCTATCTATCTATCTATCTATCTATCTATCTATCTATCTATCTCCAGATTTTGCTAGGTGGTCTAAAATGGTCTCCAACTTTTGACCTTCCTGTTTTCACCTCTGGAGTCTGCTTCTGTGTTTCTCCATTCAGGCGTGATCTGTTAGAAAAGTCTCAGTCCAGTTTTTTTTTTTTTTTTTTACCCTGAAATAAGACTTAAGTTTAGTGATGTCTTTCTTACCCGGTCCTCCCTAAAGGGAGTACAACATAAAGGAACATATTTAAAACCTCCACAAAACTCAGAGCCTGAGTGTTCTTCTTCTGGTGTCTTGGTCCATTTCTAAGTAACTTTAGTCTGATAACAGCGCTACATTGTTACATACATTCTTTTATTTTAGACAAAGCCTAAAGTAAAATGATATTAGAACATCATTTCAGGGGGGTAGATCAAGGGCTTTCAAGTTAAGAGCACATGTTGATCTTGCAGGGGACTGCTTATAACCTTCTGTTATTTCAGTTACAGGGGCTTTGATGGCTTTTTCTGGCCTCTGCAGCTACAGGCATGCAGACTATGCATATACAAATGTGCAGGCAAATACCCAAACTCACGATTCTTAGAAGGATAGAATATAGAAACAGAACAAAACCAGTTAGGTGTGATGTTGCACACATTTAACACCAACACTAGGGAGGCAGAGACAAGCAGATGTTTGTGAGTTTCAGGTGAGCCTGATCTATACAGAATAAGTTCCAGGCCAGTTAGATAGTGTGGTCCTTCCTAACAAGAACACCAGTAATTAAAAAGCAAACTTCTGTAGCAGTCTCTAGTGAGATTTTTGGAGAAAGAAACAATTTTAGTTGTTTTACAGTTTCAGTAAAAGATGTAGAAATGCTAACAAATATAGAAAATTAGCTTCCAACAAAGTGGCTCAGTCTATTTTTATTTAAAGATTAGTAGAAATCTATGAGAATGGTAGTATCCAATCATGTTTCGTCAAAGATAATGTTTTTATAATGTGAAAATCTTCATATGCTTTTGGTTTTTTCAAGACAGGGTTTCTCTGTGTAGCCCTGGATGTCTTAGAACTGGCTCTATAGACCAGGCTGGCCTTCAATTCAGAGATATACCTCCCTCAGCAGCCCAAGTCGTGGGGTTCAAGATGTGCACTGCCAGATCTTCATATTTTTCATAGGTAAAAGATATCATTGTTTAAAGATATTTAAAACAGCATTTTTTAAAACTTGTGTGTAGGGGCATGAGTGTGAAGCTCAGAGAGCAACTTATGGGAGTTAGGTTTTCTTCTTCCATCATATGGGTCCCCAGGATTTAACTCAGGCTTCTGGGCTTGCTAACAAGCACCTCTACCCCTTGAGCCATCTCACTGCCTCTCATTGTCTTTATTTTTCAAAGACAGGAAACTGAGGCACTGGGAGAAAACATTATTACCAACTAGCATGGGAATGAACTGAGTACCCTACTTCATTTCTGCACAAATATTCTTTATTCCAAGGACATATCTATAGTTCTAGACTGACATGTGGACTTTATTACAGAAGAATTAAAATTAAGTAATTAAATGTATTTATGAGGAAATGTTTTTATCACATTTATGTGTGAGAGAGAGAGAGAGAGGAGAGAGAGAGAGTGTGTATGAGTGTGTGTGTGTACTCATGTCATGGCACAGGTATGGAAGTTAAAGAACAACTTGTCAGAGTTGGTTCTCTCCCTCTACCATGTGGCCCCTAAAGATCAAATTTATGTCATTTGGTTTGGTGGCAAGTATCTTTACCAGCTGATCCATCTTGCTGGCCTAGAGCAGAAATAAAGTTTCTGTCACTAATTTACTTTAATCATTCAACTATGAAGCCCTTTCCTTCTGTATGTGTGTAGGGGGGGGGTAGTCTCTTGTTCCTAACAAACATGGAAAGTATTAAGTTTTTTTCTGATTGCCATCTCACTCAAGGGCTCATTCCCACACCTTTTCCTTGCTAGAATCCAGGAAAAGAAATTAATAGAATTGACATTTTGTGCCCAGGCTCTGCTTGAAACCAAATGGATAATTTACAAAGTAAAATGTTAGATGAAAAGGAGACGGTTTCAGAGAAGGTTTCAGTGCCCTCATCAGCCAAGAGACTCTTCAAGATCTTCTGATGAACCATGTTGTTGACAGTCTGGGAAAGCATCTGGAATCAGGCAGTTTAGGCGGCTTTGAAAGAAGTCAGTTTCTTTGGTAAGTTTTCCTAATACCCACTTCCAGAAGATCTTTTCTTTCATAATTATGTGCTAAGTCTTTCAAGTTCCCCTTTTGTTTCCTATTACTCAGTGACTGGCACTTTCATCTACCAGGCAAAAACCTAACATAGTTTTACTTGAAGCTTTGCTAAAGTTTCATCTCCTCTCCCAAACTATCCCCACACAGAGACAGTTTCTCCCCACAGCAAGCATCATCACATAACCTTGTTCTGGTTAGTATTTTCGTATTCATCTCTAATTTAATGGGTGCTTGTTTTGTCTCCTCAATTAGGTTTCAAGTTCCTTGAAAGTAGTGCTGTGCCTTTATTTCTAGTATGCATAATCCTCACTGATATATTTATATTGTGTCTTGGCAGTGGCCACCATGTCAGAATGAGATGAGTTGCTTGTACTAGGATGGCTCATCAGTTTGAGTGATGGCATGAGGATGAGGCTTCTCATCCTAATGGCAATCAGCCCTTCTGGGGCCTCATTTGAGTTTTGCTGCTTACAGGGCAGGTGAGGGAGGAATCAGTGGTCTGCCCTCTCTTCCTTCTTCCATGCCCATCACTTCACCCCTCTGTTAAATGAGGAGCTATAAGATATGTATCCCTTCCTCAGAGGAGAGCTGTGATAATTACAGCTTGTAAAGCATTTTGTGATTCTTAGATATAAAAGAGCTAATTATTATGATCATTAATATTCTTAATTTTTATCTTCTTCAAGGTAAATTACCCTTACTTTAATTACATCCCCACCCTTTAGGTAATTATACCTCCAAGAGTCAGCAGATGCTTTCATCTCACGTCATGCTATGCAGGGTGACTGGCACGGGTGCCCAAGGGATAACACTGCTGCCTTCCTGTCACAGTAGCAGAGAGAGCCTGGCTTTCTCAGTAAACTGGTCACAGGGTTTAAGTCATTTTGTTATTCCTGCTCTGTAATCGTATCTTTAGCACAATGAGTGACTCCTCAAGTTCGCAGAGTACTGGGACTTGTCAAAAACAAAGAAACAAACAAACAAAACAAAACAAAATCTCACCCCTAACGAGACAGATAGAT